GAGGAGAACTTTGCCTGAGGGAGTCCTTGAAAATCTGAGAGGAGAGTTACAACAGACTGTTCTACATTTTAAAACCAGCTACAAGCTGGAAGGGGAACTGAGGCAAGAGGTGCAGATGGTGTTGGTAACCGAGGAAGGCGTGTCTGTCGGCAGTCAGGGCAGTGTGGGACAGATAAAGCGTCGCTGGAGGAGAACTCTGTGACATAGTCCTGAAGAGTGGGAGAGGAGGCCGAGGCGGTGGAACTGAATTGCCACTGTGTTAAGACCTGTCTGTAGTCATGAATTTGTAAGGCCAGCCAGTATGGTCTTATGATTTTTCTGTAGGTGTATTCAACACTGGGAAGGTTTTGCAAAGATTAAATTAGTTAGATTTGTGAAAAGCATCTAATTCATTGCCAGGCACATTATAATATAACCTCTGTTTGAGTTCTTATTTTGTTTCTTTTTCTGTTTTTACAAATGTGCCTAAGAGGGTGACATTTACCACTGAATAGGATCTTCTCCTTTGGTGCATTCTTCAGTGAGACCCGATTCAGCTGACATTTGCAGCTGCCTTAGCCATCTGGCCTTGATATGGTTATGGTCATCTGGCTTGGTGACTCAGCTGCTTGTATTTTGGAACTGTTACCCTGGATGGGTTGGGAGTTTGTCACAGCGACAATTATTAAGTTTTTGTGAAAAAAAAATTTTTTTTTTTTGATTTTTCGAGACAGGGTTTCTCTGTGTAGCTTTTGAGCCTTTCCTGGAACTCATTCTGTAGCCCAGGCTGGCCTCGAACTCACAGAGATCCACCTGCCTCTGCCTCCCGAGTGCTGGGATTAAAGGCGTGCGCCACCACCGCCTGGCATGTGAAAATATTTTTTTATTACTATATTTCCTACTGGATCTAATTTACCCATAGTTATAAAATGTACAGCTCTAATATGACCAAGGGGAAAATTCAGTTTAATAGGCTATTATCCCTCCCTGGCTACTTGGGCTGTATTAAATACAAATATAATAATGGCTGATATTGAGTGAGCTCCAGTTCCTGGCTTTGTTGTAGACTTTATATCTTTTTTCAGCTGCTTGGCCATAACTCTCTATAACTTCAGTGGAATATGTACAAAGATTTGACTCTAAAGCCAGATCAGCTGTATCCTATACTGCCTTATTATGTGACGTTGGGCAAATCATTTAACTACTGTGTTTCTTTCTTTTTTCTTATTCATGTTGTGGGAATAATAATAGTTGCTTACTGAGGTTATTGTAAGGATCAAAGGAGTTAATGTGCTGACACTAGAGAAGTATTTTTACTGGTTGATTAGTTCCATTAAAATCATCTAGCCATTGTGTTTAGTTAGAGTCTAGGCACTGTATTATTTCTTCTGCCTTGGGGCTTGCTTACTTTTTATGGCTGCATTGTCTGCATGGGGAAACTAAATAGATATGAGTTTGCTTAAAAAATAACTTACTTCTTCTGGATTTATGTAGGTCATCAACAGGGTATATATATTTTTTTAGTGCTGGCATTGCCTTCCACAAGGACTTGGGAAGTGAGTCCATTTTTTTTGGTCCCAAACTGGCAGACCACTGAAGATACTTGGTTAGAAAGATCAGTAATCTACATGGCCAGTGGTGGGTACAGTGCATGGTAAATGATGTAGGCTATTTGGCGCCACATAAGAGACTAGAAAAAAAAATCTATAAGGTGAGAGGGTTACTATGATTGGAGGCATTTGTTACTGATTGGAAGCAACTGACCAGGCTTAGCATTTGAGACCAGTAGAAATTCCAAATGATCTTTGCTGATACACAGTGACAGGGAGAGTAAATGTATGCTGTAAAGTAGTGACCCAGAAAGTATATAGTGAGAGTTGTATGAAAATTTGCAGAATGATGTGCTCCATTTTCACAGATTCAGAATCAGCAAGTCATAGTAAGGTTCTGGAATCCATCAATTTTTAAAGAATTCTATGAATGACTTAGATGTTCAGTTCGTTTGGGATCTCATTAGTGCACAAAACAGTACTTTTCAGCTCTCGTTCTGTTTCATAACCATCTTTTAATCGGCTTTTAAAAAACTATCAGTGGTCTGGTGCCACCCCCAGGAATTCAGATTTAATTGGCTTGGGTAGAGTCTAGACATTGGTACTTTAAAAATGTCCTCTGGTGATTCTCCTGTGCTGCTGGGTTTGAAGATCACTGTCATAGTCAGCCAGATTTCCTTCCATAGAAAGAATTTAAAAAGAGGCATAGCTTCAGGTGGCATATTATTAGGAAAGTGAAAGAATAGCATTTCTGAACTCCTCAGCACAAATATTCAATCTAATAATCAAATGACTGAAAATGGGAATTGATGATTGAATTGGCGTTTTTCACACTTAGTAATGGAGATTTATCAGGCTCACCCTGGGAAAGAGAATTAACATTTATCAAGAACTTTATGTATAATCTCAGTCTTACAGCAACTCTGGGAGATTGTATATTCCTTCCATAATTTAGATGACCATTCTGAGGCTGAGGGAGGGTTAAGTTAACTTGTATATATTTTTATGTCTAGGTATAGATGGTTACAAGTCTAGATTGATTTTTTTCAGTGCTTCTCAAATTGGAGCTCACCTTGGGGTAACCTGAGAGAACTTAACAAACAACCCAAGTGTTGGGATCTCATTCTCATAAATACTGATTTTGTTATTCTGGGGTGGCCAGGCATTGGCATTTTGCAAAACTCTTCAGCTAATTTTAGTATGCACATGAGACTGGCAGTCAGGATGTGCATGAAAGCTTTTATTTATTAATATTGTGGGGAGTTATATGTACACATGCCATGGCACATGTGTGGGTGCCAGAGGACAATTTTGTGGGACCGGTTGTCTACTTCCACCTTTACCCGGGTTCTGAGAATTGAACTCAGGTCACCAGATTTGACGGACATGCATCTTCACCCACTGCGCCATCCACCAGTCTACTGTGCACTCTTGTAATGGCTTAATTCTATTTATACTGGCTTATTGTCCTGCCAGGTTCCCTGCCTCCATACAGTCACTCAGTTTTCTCAGTGTTCATTTTCCCCACCTTCTTGCCTTTTGGTAAATATGCATTAAGTGTCCACTTTGTACCAGACACTCTTTGTACTGGGTGACACAATGGTGACAAGAAAGACCAAGTCACCAGCATTACAAATTCACATTGAGGGACATAGACAGTAGATAGAAGCATTTTCATATATGAGGAAATTTCAGAGTAATGAAAGTGCTTTCAAGAAAAACAAAGCAGTGGAGATGGAGAGATGGCTCAGTCAGCAAAGAGCTTGCTGTGCAAGCAGGAGGACCCGAGTTCGAGCCCCAGCACCCAAATAGCAAGCTGCATGTGGTATCTGGAACCCCAGGCTGGGAAGGTGGAGACAGGGGGATCCCTGAGGCTCCCGGCTAGTCAGTCTAAGGTGGAAGTCATCGAGGAAGACACGTGGTGCTGATGTCTGACCTACACACACACACACACACACACACACACACACACACACACACACAGATAAAAAGAAGGGCAATGATTAGTGATCCCAGCAGCAGTACATCAAGAGTTGCACTTGCTTCCCATCCTCTCTAGAGCTACTTTGTTGTGTTGTGTGTGAATGTGGCTATTCAGTGACATGCAGTGGGATCTCATGAATTTTTTCTTCATCTTTCTGTTGACCAACTGTGACAAGCACATTTCTATGTTTGTATTTGCCATCTGTATTTCTTTGGTCATGTGCTTGCTCAAATATTTTCTGAGTCGTAAGAGTCTACATATATAGGGTACAGGTCTTTTTCCAGTAAACATTTTTTAAGTATCTTCTGTCCTGGTCTAGGACTTAGCATTGTGTGTGTGTGTGTGTGTGTTGTCAAAGAATAGATGTCTTAATTTTTATAAAGTCTACATTTGAATAGTTTTCTTTTGTGGTTTGCATTCTTCATGTTGCAGAAAAGTTTTACCTGATTCAGTGTCATAGGTTTCTCCCCTATGCTGTGGTTTTTGTTGTTGTCCAGACTGGTCTTGAACTCATGGTCTTCCTGCCTCCATCTCTCAGGTGCTGGGATTCACAGACAGGTCTGTGCCATACTGCTCAGCTTCCCCTACTTTTCACCCAGCAGCTTTATGGGTTTAGGTTTGGTATGTGATCTATCTATTTTTAGTTAATATCTGTGCATAGTATGAGAATTGGGTAATATCTGTAATTTTGCATACAGATGTCCGTTTTTTTCACCACTATTTGTTGAAAATAATGTCCTGTCTCCACTGTCTTGATACCTTTCCCACAAATCAATTGATCCATGTCAATTATTTCTACCTTTTTGTTCTTTCCTGCTTAGGTGTTGTATTTCTTTTTTTTTTTTCTTTTTCTTTTCTTTTTTTTTTTTTTTTTGGTTTTTCGAGACAGGGTTTCTCTGTGTAGCTTTGCGCCTTTCCTGGAACTCACTTGGTAGCCCATGCTGGCCTCGAACTTACAGAGATCCACCTGGCTCTGCCTCCCGAGTGCTGGGATTAAAGGCGTGCGCCACCACTTTCTTACACCTAATTGTTCTTATACCAATGTCATGGATCTGGATGTTTCACCATTTCTAGTCATTGTAAAGAGGTCCTTACAGTGGACAAATATAAGTTCCCATATGAAACATCTAGTCCTTCTAGATGTTTAGAAATGTACAAAGTATGTTAAAAGTAGATGCAGTAGATAATACATATTGCAGATACTCTTATTAGAACTCAGAGTGAAATGTTGTCTTTTGGAAATGAGATGATGAAACTGCTTTTATACAATACAGACTTTTGCTGGCTTGAGGAGGGAGGAAGAATGAAAAAGTATGAAGGGCCTAATGCTATATAAGCTTTTGGTAAAGCAAAAAGGTGAAACAGATATAAAAGTATACAAATTTTTAAAAAGACATGAAAATGTATTTGTGGACATGATTATATAGGAAATTCCAAGGAATCTATAAAAAGCTATTAGAAATAGTGACTTTAGCAGAGACACAAGACATGAGGTCTGTATGCAGAAATCAGTGGTATTTTTTATTGTGGCAGTGGACGACTAAAAATTAAAACAATTATCATTTACAATGGCATAAAGAATTACAGACAGGTTTAATGTAGTTCTGCAATATTTGAATGCTTGAAACTATAAAATACTTATGAAGGAAATTAAAGAAAACAAAATGAATAGAGCAATATATTTGGTGCTATTTTGTTGAATACTTTTTACATCTGTATTCTTGATAGATACTGGCTTGTAAAGATATGTCATTGATTTTGATATCAAGGTTGATGGTGGTCTCATAAAATTGTTATTGTTTCCTCTTTTACTTTGTGGGTCATTTGGTGTAAATTGTTACTCAAGGTTTGATAGTGTTGAGTTGTTTTCCATGTGGATTGTGTGCTGTGGCTCATTCCCCTTCACAGAGCCTGTGCAGGGTCTGTGTGTCTGTTCTCGTGAGGGAGCATCAGGACTCTGTCTTCCTGGAAAGAGTCCTTGCTATCTGTGTTATGGATCCGGGACACAGCAGTCTTAATATATGCGATTGTCTAGGTTACACTGAGACGGTCATTTCCTTTCTGGTTTGTTTGTTTCCTCACTCTTCCCCTCATCCTCCTCATGTTCTCCTTCCCCTTCTCCCTTCTGTCACTCCCTCCCCACCCATTTTCACTTTCAGTATGTAAGTGCAATCTTTTATCCAAAGATTGCCACCAGCCACACAGTTATTTAGGTGTAAGTTAATTTACATTGAATTAAATAAAAATGAAATTTCTCAGTCACACTGATCCCATTTTAAGTGATTAGTAGTCAAAAGTAGTTAACTGTTTTGTACTGTGCAGTTACAGGATGCTTTTACCACCATACAAGGCTCTGCTGGGCAGTGCTGGTCTAGAAGATACGAGTTTTCTTGATTTTTTTTGGATATATTTCTGAAATTATTGGTATTTCTTTTATTTGTCAGCTTTGTTATTAATTTCTGTGCTTTATTTCATTCTTTTGCTTGCTTTGAGCTTCATTTCTTTTTAAAATTTCTTAGGCCACAACACAATCATCAACTTGGGATTGTTATTTCCCAATGTAAATATCCAGTACTGTACATTTAGAAGCACAATTTCAATTGTGTGTCTAAAGTTTTTTGATGTTCCATCTTTATTTATATTCAATTAAAATAATTCATTATTTTCTTTGTCACTGATTTGAGATGACAGTTATTTAGAAATGAGGTTTTTTTTTTAAAAACTACCCCCAATTTGAGGACTTTAGTTTTGATTTCTTTTTTTAACTTCAATCTTGTATTCCAGCATAAGATTTTTTAAATTGGATTTATTTATTTATTTATTTAATGTGTATGATCCATCTATGTACGTGCATTGCATGCATGCCTGGTACCCATGGAGGTAAGAAGAGGGTGTTGGATCCCCTGGAACTGGAATTACAAGTGGCTGTGAGCCACCATGTAGGTGCTAGAAACTGAACCCAGGTCCTCTGCAAGAGCAGCCAGTGTTCTTAACCACTGAGCCATCTCTCTAGCACCTCAGCATAGATTTTTAATTTTTTGGGGGGGTGGGATGGGAATCAGAATAATGACCACTTTGTAGAAGCCCTTTATCCACTTAAAGATAATGTTTATTTCTTTTGAGTGAGGTGTCCTTGAAACTTAGGTCAAATTAGTTCATGGTATTATTCATGTTTTCTGCATCCTCACTGGTTTTCTCTTTGCTTTTTTCCACCTATTCTGTGCATTTTCCTTTTCCTTGTTTTATGTTTTAAAGAAGATTTATTTTTTAAAAACTGTATATGTATGAGTATTGCCTGAATGAATGTATGTAATGTATATGTATCACACATGTGCCTAATACTGATAGAGGCCAGAAGAGGGCATTGAATCCCCTAGAACTGGAGTTATAGAAAGTTGTAAGCCGCCATGTGTGGGCTGGGAACAGAACCCAGGTCCTCTGCAGGAGCTGAAAGTGCTCTTAACCATTGAGCCATCTCTTCAGCCCCCATTTATGACTTTTTGAAGCAATGATCCTTTGATAAATATACTTTGAAGTGGCTGTATGTTTTTATTAGGTAATGCATGTCTTTATGGAACATTAAAAAATTGGAATTTGTGCAGTCTGATGCTTACATTTACCTTTCTTTTTATCAGCATTTGCATGGGTTATCTTTTCCGTTCTTTTTTCAAAACCTTTATATTTAAAGTGGGCTTCTTGCAGACTGTATATAATTAGATTTTACTTTTTCAATCTTACCATTTTTTTCTTCTTGATTTGTATGATACGATCATGAACATTTAATGTAATGGTTGGTATGGCTGGATGCTTATCTGCAATCTTGCCAGTTTTGTTCGTCTGATTTAGTCTTTAACCCTACTGTTTTCTTTCTCATCCTCTTTTTATTGAAATAGGGACATTTAATTAATCCCTTTAATCTCTCCTTGACATTCACTGCCGCATTTCCTCCTTTCTGCCTCTTTCTCCTCTTCTTGGTTCTTTTTGTCAACAGTTGTTATAGACTTCCACTGTATCACAGTCTATTTTTAATAATGTCTCATTTCACATAGAAAGTAATGAGTTTATATCAGTGTGCTACCATGGCATCTCACACATACTTTGAGGTATGCTTGTTATACATTTTATTGTATAGATGTTATACATTCGACAGTGTAATTATTGTTATTGCTTTAGTTATCATAAAATTCCTGGTCTCCTGTTTAAACAAGACTTTTAAAAAAGAATTTTAAATGTATAGAAAAACTGAACAACAATACAGAGTGCTCATATATTTCTTCATTCCACATGCTCTCCTATTATCTTTTACTACTTTGGTACATTGTTACTTAGTGAATCACTGTGCATTATTACCAGCAAAAGGCTCTACTTGGCCCTAAGGTTTACTCTTTGCATAGCACATTCCTCTAGAATTTGAAAAAATATCATCTTTCTACAATTACAGTATTATTTCTTTAAAAATCCCTGCTGCTCTATTGATACATTCTTGTATTTACTCTTCAAAACCCCTGCCAGCCACTGGTCCTCCTTTTCATAGCGTCACTGTTTTTACAGTGTTCAGCAAATCATCAAATTTGTTTCTTTCTCTTAGTAGCGTTCATTAAAATTGCTCCAAAGCTTATATGGCTTGATAGCTCATTTGTTTGTTATTCAGTAATATTCCGTTGATGGGAATATCACAGTGTATCCATTCAAATACTGAAACATATCTTAGTTGCTTCTAGATGTTGACGATTGTGAATAAGATAGCTACAAATATTGAGTGCTGCAGTGAATGATTGCTGGATCTCGTGGTAGATAATACTGTGTTTAGCTCTGTAAGGATCTGCTAAAACTGCCTACCACAGCGGCTATACCATAATCCCTTCCCACCAGCAATGACTTACTCCTGATGTTCTGCATTCTCACTAGTATTTGGTATTGTTAATTAGCCACTATAACAAATAACAGATAAAAGCAGCAGCTGGTTTTGATTAGTAATTTTCTAATAATGTAGAATGTGAAACATTTTTACATGATTACTTATCTGTTTATTTCTTTGGTGAGTTATCAGTTCATTTATTTATTTTAAATTGGTTTTCTTGCTGAATGTTCAGAGTTCTTTATATTTTGGGTTACAAATGATCAGATATCTGATTTGTAAATATTTTCTTCAGGTCTTTTTTATCTCCTTATTCTCAACAATATCTTTTGCACAACAGAAGGTTTTTTTAAATTTTAATAGAATAGAAAAACTTATTGCCAGCTGAGTGTGGTGGCAATGTCTATAATGTTAGCACTTTGGGAGAGTGCTGAAGGAGGGGCACCGCAGTTTAATTCCAGTCTGATCTACATATGGCCTCCCAGGGCATCAGAGTGCCTGTCGTGAGACTTTGTCTAAAACCAAGCAAGCAAGCAAATATAAAAACAATAGAAAACAAAACAAAACAAAGTTTGCCAAAACTTAAGTTAACTAGATTTTATCCTTGTAATTGTCTTGTTTTGAAGTTTTGACTTCCCCAAAGATAAAGTTCTAACCCTGCCACTTGATGCTATGACCTAATTTAGAACTAAGGCCTTTGCAGAAGTGAATAAATGAAATTAAAACCCCAACCAATAATTCGTGTTCTTGTGGGACAAGAGAAATTTGAACATAGGCACACAGGGAGACTATAGTATCACAGTAGAGGCAGAAATTGAAGTGTTGTGCCTCCACACCAAGGACACCAAAGACTGCTAGTGGATAGCATATGCTAGAAGAAAGCAAGACTCCTTCCTTCAAGGTCTCTGAGGCGGGGAATGGCTTTGCTGACACTTGAACTTCATTCTTCTATTTCCAGAACTGTGAAACGATACATTTTTCACTTTTTAAAATGCCATCCAGCTTGTGGTGTAGCACTTTGTTTTGGAAGCCCCCGGAAACTAATACATATCCTGGCATAGGTTTTGGAATTGGGTAGCAGGTGGGTAGACACAGAAAGAATCTTGAGGCACATGACATAAAAGCTCTAGTCAAGTTTGACAAGACTTGGGTAGCAATATGGATGTTATTCTGGAAAAGGCTCACAAGAGAAGGGAATTGTGCAGAACATGTTTGTTTTAGAGAATACACGTATCATCATGAACAGAACTGTATTTGAAACATGGACTTCCAAGGAGCTTCTTGTGTGATTTTTAAAGGAGTGACGGCTACAATCCCTGGCACTGAGGGAAGGTTATTCTTGTCAAGAGTGCCAGCAACTTGCCTGGATTGTGCTCAACAGCTGGGTGAAAGAAGAACTTACAAAAAATGAGTTTGCACGTTTGGCTGAGGACATTTTAAAGCAATTATTGTGGGACCATAATTTATCTTTATTGTTGATAATTAAAATGCAAAGGGGGAGGAACTAAGTTAAGGAGAAACTTCTTAAGCAAATATCAATATGGCTTGAAAAAATTTCAACCTATCCAGGAAATCTGCTTTGGAAACAGGACCAAAGTGTGGCTTTGAGATAGATTAGGCAGACCCACCTTATTGCGACACAGAGTAGATGTTGAGCATTGTTAAAGTACTGCTAGAAGTCAGTATTGGGCCGGGCAGTGGTAGCGCATGCCTTTAATCCCAGCACTCAGGAGGCAGAGCCAGGTGGATCTCCGTGAGTTCGAAGCCAGCCTGGTCTCCAGAGTGAGATCCAGGACAGGCACCAAAACTATGCAGAGAAACCCTGTCTCAAAAAACAAAAACAAAAAAAAAGTCAGTATTGGTTAATGTTAATACATTTTTTAAGCTTTATATTCCTGTGTGTATGAGCATGAACGCATGCCATGGCACTTGGTAGATGACTTGTGGAGTTGGTATTCTCCTTCAACTTTTACGTGGGTTCAGGGATTGAACTCAGGTAGCTGGGCTTGTGTGGCATCTGCCTTTATCCACTGAGCTGTCTTACTGCTCAATAATGGCACTCCATCTGATGTTTATTATTCTATAAATAAAGCTGTGGGGGATGGGACAGTCTGCTGCTTAGTGGAGAGCTGTCAGACTCTTTCCTGGTGTCCTGACTGCCTTGTGCAGTGACTATATGCAGAAGCTAGGTGCGTGACCCCATGCCAGCACCATCTTAAGGAGGTCACATAATGATCACAACTGCTTGCTCCAAGTCCCAACGGTGAAGAAGTCACAGCCACAGTTGTTTCAAACAGCTTTCACTGGGCTTCCCTGTAACCCTTCCTGTGTAGGCCAGAGGGGGCACTTCTGTTGGCACACAGAGGGTCTGTTGTGATGGGAACAAAAACCAAAACACCCCCCAATAACATCTACAGTTATGACTGCATGGGTGTTTGCTGTGACTGATGCAAACGGCCATTTTATGGCTGTGTAACCAAGTAGGTCAGTTTTGTGCTGTGACTTGGAGACGCCTTCTGTGCTACTTTGCTTGATGTTGGCAACATAGGCTCAGTAAGAGGCTTTTCTCAAGTGGACCTTTCTTGCCTATGTTTGAAATCCACTAGTAGAGCATACTGTGCTGTTAAAGAAAAAGTAGCCAAATATAGCTCTGTCTGCCTATAATCCTAGCAGTTGGCAGGTGGTTCAGGAATTCAAGGACAACCTGGGTTACATAGTTTGAGATCAGCCTGAGCAACATGGTCAAGACAAACATTAGGGGGTTGAAGAGATGGCTCAGCAGTTCAGAGCACTTCTTGCTTTTGCAATGGACTTCAGGTTCGGTTCTCAGCACCCACATAGCAGTTTACAACCACCTGTATTTCCACTTCCAGGGGATCCAGCACCCTTTTCTGGCCTCTGCAGGCACTAATCACACACACACAGTACACATACATACGTTCAAGAGAAACACTCATAAAAATAAATCTTAGAGCAACACATAGCAACAACGACAAAGAAACACAGAAAAGATGGTGATAACAGCAGCGTGGCTTCAGTGCAAACACATTGAGCAGCTGGCAGGCTAAACGTCAAAGTGGTGCAATCAGAGAGTGGCCAGTGGCTTACAGCTGAAGAAGAAGCTCAGCAATGGAGAGTGACAGACAGACTGAGCCACAGAAGTGACACGGTGAGTGGCCGAGGCTCTAACAGCGGCAGGAGAGAGCCGTGGGAACTGCTGGAGGCCTTAGCAGCAGCAGCAGTGGAGTTGCGAGAGTGACCAAAACCGGAAGTAGCAAAACCGTGGCAGTGACAGGAGCCAACAGTAGAGCTGTAGCAGAGATGGCTATGACATCAGTGATTACAGAGGTAGACATGGCCTTATGGGTGATGATGGCTAATCTTGATTGCCAAGTACATCTGGAATCAACTGAAGCGCATCCAGCTGGGCATACCTGTGATTTTTCTTGATTGGATCCTTTGCGGTGGGAAGATCCACCCCAAATCTGGGCCATACCTTCTGATGGCAGCCTGTATAAAAGGACATAGAAGAAGAAAGCTTTGCATTTTACTGACTTGCCTTCACTTGTGCTGGCAAGTTAATCTGTCCTGTTGCTGAGACATTCCTTCACTGGTATTAGAAGCTACTAATCAGGATTCTAACATAGACTGAAGCCCAGCAGCTTTCTAGGACTCCAGCACCAGACTGAGACTCCTGAGATATCCAGTTTCATGGAATAAATGACTGCTGGATCCTTGGTCTTTCTGTTGGAAGACATCTATTTTTGGACTTCTTGAACCATAGCTTGTAAGCCACCCTAATAAGTACATGCTCACACTTTTTTTTTTTTTTAAAAAAAAATCAGTTCTGTTCCTTTAGAGAACCCTGACTAATACATGGACCAAGGGTATTAAGACATTCTAGGCCTTAGCACTATAACACTAGCCAGTATCAAGAACTGGAGAATCCTGACTTCCTAGGCCCACACAAAAGCTGTAACACTTGTCACCATAAGGCTAAGCATCCCAGCACCTGCCCAAGGCTCTCATCAGAGTTGTGACACTAAAGGCACTACCTGCTGCTGCCTCAAGCTATCTGCTGTTGACGCTTACAGCTGTCTAATGCCGAGGAGTTCAGAAGCTTCCCGTGAGGAGCACGAGAAGCACTAGCTTTACCTTTCCTGCCTGCAATTTCTATCTGGGTAGAGGAAAACTACTGCAGCCACCTGACTGTTACTGAAGAGATTAGGTAGGCGAGTGACTCATGGATCCATAGCCCTTCTGTTGCTTTGTTGAAGGTACTGGCTGCTCTCTACTCCCACCACTTCTTAAGCTTGACTGTTAACACCCCAAAAACCTTTTTAGGCAGATTATTCTGGAGAGAAGAATGAAGGCTGTAAGACTTCGATATTCTGCAAGTTGGAAACAGGTTGGATGGTAGGATGGGTCACGACTCCTGGAAATGATGACATGGGGTATGTGTTTTAAAAGCCCAAGGTAAGTATTTGTGACTTTGGGAGGTTGGAAAGCAAGCTTTTGTGGTTTTAATTGTGCCACCAAGTTGAAGCATGCTTCCAAGGATTTCTGGGATCCAGCAAAGAGTAAGAAGAAACAGGGAAGAATCTTTGTGTTGAGCTTAATAGAGAGCATGCCCTGCTGATGCCTGGTGTTCAGAACAGTGAGAGAACACAGTTCTTTTATGGCACAATTTAAGCACAGTGGGAGCCTGCGAGTATCTCCTAGGAGTTATAGCTTTGTGCTTTACACTTAGGACTGTGATCCATTTTGAATTGTGAGAGGTACAATGCTTATGTCTAGATTTCTTGTATGTGAATGTCCAATTAGTCTAGCACCATTTTTTGAAAAATAATATTTCTTCCACTGAATTGCTTTGCTGCTTATCAGTGGTTACTTGACTCCATTTGTGTGGGTTGATTTATTGGCATCTCTGTCCCATCGATCTGTTTGTCCATGCTTTCAGTAGTCCTATGTAATGTTGATTATTCAAACCTTATGGTAAGTCTTGAAATCCCACATCAGTCTTCTAACTTTGTTCTTTAGGATTTTTGGCAATTCTGGCTGTTCTCTCCATAGCCTTAGAAGGGGTGTATTGCTGTTCACAAAACAACTTGCTAGGATTCTCATTGGGATTACAGGTCCTGTAAATAAAACTGGGAAGAATTGAGATCGTAACAATAGTGAGTCTGTGCATGAACATAAAAACATCCAGTTATTTAGATCTGTGGGAGTCCAGCTCTCACCTTTTGAAGGGTTCTTAGGTGGAGGAGAGAGGGATAAGAAAATATCAGATAAAAAGAGAGACCTAGACAACGAGAAGAAAGACAGAGATATGGGATAGCTTTGGGAGGGCCTGGGTCAATACCCAACAGCCACTTTATTTATTCAAAAGAGCTTTTCATAATATGCCAAGGGGAGAGGCAAAAGACCTCACCTTTGCAAGATCAAAGTACACCATACAGCCAAGTGCAGACCCTTCCAAATACCTGGTAAACACATCCATGGCCAAATCATCTCCTTACACAGCCCTGCTGGGTAAAGCTAGCTCAGATTCTCTGACCCTAAGTTCTCACTAGAAAGTCTCTCTGGGTCTCCACATAGATATTTTTTTTTTACCAGAGTTTTGAAGAGTTACTACTGCTATTTTGCAAAGGAGTTGGGTTTTATACATTAGCTTAGTATTCTTTGGATGTTAAAGAGTTTTGTTACCTTTATGTTGCTGAGGCTTCAATCCAGAATGCTACGTTCTGTTCTAATATGAATTTATCTTTCTTCTAGTGTCCTAATGCACATGCTCTCTTGTCTGTTGGTGATACTGATTTTTTAGGGGGTTTCTGTAAAAAGGATTTTTACTGTTGCTTATTCTTTGATGTATTTTATATAGGTAATCTGCCATCTAAGAAGCCAGAGTTTCTCTTTTCCACAGCTATTTATCTCTGTACTTTTTCTTGTCTTGTTGTTTTATAGTATCTAGGATTTCTCATCATTAGGTTACATATATTTTATATAATTAAAACACTTAAAATTTCATATATGTATACTGTATTTACATTATTTTCCCCCTCTCTCCAACTCCTCTTTGGGCTTTCCAACTCCCTCTTAAATTTATAACCTCTTTTCTTTAATTATTACACACACACACACACACACACACACACACACACACACACACACATGAATTTAACCTCACAAAATCCTTGTATACTTTTGTAAATATTCTTTAACAATTTGAGAGAAGTTCTCATCTGGTCTTAGTTTTCTGATCATTATCAAGAGTGAATTTTGATTTTGTCAAGTGCCTTTTCCTGAATCTGTTGATATCATATGAGTTGTCAAAAATCAGTGAGTTACTTTGCTGTTAGGCACTGGACATCCTCTCTGTAAGAAATTAATAAGTGAAAATTGGCCTTCTAGTACCCATGGTCAGCTTGTGTTTGATGGTGGCTAGATAAAATAATAAAATTGAGATGTGGAGCTTTGTGAGACCTCCTGAGAGACAGGGAGGTGGGGCAGAGGGGAGGTAGGAAGGGAGAGAGGAAAAGAGGGAGGGGGGATGTGTGTGTGTGTGTGTGTGTGTGTGTGTGTGTGTGTGTGTGTGTGGTGGGGTTGTATGTGTATATGGGCACTCCTGTGTAGGCCAGAGATCAATGTCAGGTATCTTCTTCTCATGCTCTGCACTCTAGTTTTTGAGACAGGGTCTCTCACTGAACTGAGTTTACGGTCTCAGCTAGACTGACTGGCAGCAAGCCTGAGGGTCTCCCTATAGAAGTACACACAATTTGTAGTATATGCAGCCATGCCTGGGTTTTATGTGGTCCTAGAGACCTGAGCACAGGTCCTAATGCTTGTGTAGCAAGCACTTTCCTGACTGACCTTTCTCTCGGAATAAAACAGATTGACCGAGGCTAAGGGCTTGTTTTCTGCTCTTCATCTTCCATTTTCTTTGTTCCTGAATTAATTCAGGGGCAACTTTAGTTACTTCCTAATATTCAAACCCTTCAAAGCCCAAGTCCATTTGAACTCACTGTGTAGACCAGGCTGCCCTCAAACTCGTAGAGCTCTTCCAGCCTCTGCTTCTGACTGCCATGCCCAGCTAGGATATTCTTTACGAGGAGATTTGTCTCCAGAAATGGGTTGTCCCTCTGTCACTCCCTCCTCTCAGCAGTGGCTGTTAAGAGACCATAGAGAAGGAAGAACGGTTCCCTGGGGAGTGGGCTAGAGAGAACTCGCCTTTTTTATCTTTAAACCAGTCTATGGAAGTGTTGGGCCTACACCTTTAACTGACAGCTTAGGCAGAGGTTGGCTTTTCTCTTCTCCCTATTAATTTCTCACAGACAGGATGTCTAATGAGGACTGAGGTGCACAGCTTGCCTTTGCTTTATTTTTCTGTCAGAGCATGTCAGTCAGAGAAGAATATTGTGGGCATAACAAAGATTTTCAGTATCTTAAGGCCAGGCTTTATGAACCTTAAAATTGCATATGGAAAAGGCCCTCATTACTAGTTGCCTGTCTGAATCATTTGTGTGATATATTAGATTGGGGCTTCTTAAGCCTTTTGCTCTTGTGGCCCCTCTTCCTCTCTCCCTTCCCACCTCCCCTCCGCCCCACCTCCCTGTCTCTCAGGAGGTCTCACAAAGCTCCACATCTCAATTTTATTATTTTATCTAGCCACCATCAAACACAAGCTGACCATGGGTACTAGAAGGCCAATTTTCACTTATTAATTTCTTACAGAGAGGATGTCCAGGATTTTTTATGTGATCTTCAGTATAAGTATATACAAAATAGGTAGATAAATAAATTACTTACTGATAATCATGAAAAGCATTTCAAACAATTATTTGGTAAACATAAAATTTGACCATTTAAGATGAGATCAAACTTGCATACTAATAAGATATCTGTGCATGTGCATTTTTGTGTAGAGAGCTAAATCTTTCTGATATTCAGTATTGCAGAGTGCAGAGAATCTTTAGCATTTTTCAGAGTTGGTTGATACTGTGATTTTATTATTGTTAATGCTGAGAATACCACTACACATAAATATGTAACACAAAATGGCAGAAGTATAGTTGGGCCTTTATAGAAATAGTTGGAAATTCTGGCATAATCCCAAGCCAAACTTCATTAACTAGTATTTAAGAAAATGAAGTTAGCAACTAAACAAAGCAGTTTTACAAACCAAACATCCTGACACTATACATTGCAGAAACCTATTAATGCTTTAATACTTACGTGCCAAGGAAGGGTGGTGGGAAGGTCGGAAGTCTTTGTCCTGCGGTTAAGCCATTGTCTGTCTCTAAGAGCAGAGCACGAGCACTGCAGGTGGAACACACAGCGCTTTCAGTTAAGCCATTGTCTGTCTCTAAGAGCAGAGCACGAGTACTGCAGGGTGGAACACACAGCGCTTTCAGTTAAGCCATTGTCTGTCTCTAAGAGCAGAGCACGAGCACTGCAGGTGGAACACACAGCGCTTTCAGTTAAGCCATTGTCTGTCTCTAAGAGCAGAGCACGAGTACTGCAGGGTGGAACACACAGCGCTTTCAGTTAAGCCATTGTCTGTCTCTAAGAGCAGAGCACGAGCACTGCAGGTGGAACACACAGCGCTTTCAGTCTGAGATGAGGCGTTTCGGGCAGTGTTCACTGGCCTCGCATAGTCTGAAGGCATGAGCGGTAAGAAGGGCACGTGTTACATATTCAGAACCAAGGATGCAGTGAATTCCTCCAGCTCAGGTGGCCTCTGATTCATTATGATTTGATTTTGAATTACTTTTTAGTCATTGCTTGCTCAGAAACTTTTGGTGTTACCAGTTTTTCATAGCTCACCCATGCACCCCATATTGGGTAACAATCCAGCTTAGGAAGCTAAAGATTAATAATGTTGCTAGCCTTGAGGGGTGTGTGGACAAAGTGACTATGGCCAGCAAGTGCTCACTTTCACTTTTGTCTTACTCATGCACAAGCTTGTACTTGAGGTGACTTGCTCATATTTATTTAGTTTTAGGAGACTGTAGTGAGAAGGCTTATATTTTAAAAAAGAGTCAAAGTCTTAGAGAATAGGCATGACAGACACAGTACAGGAAGAGTCTGAGTATTCCTAAAACATTTATATGAGAACATCAGCAATAATAAATTTCAAAAAAGGCTGGGTGTGGTGGCTCACACTTTTAATCCCAGCACTTGAGAGGCAGAGGCATGCAGATCTCTATGAGTTTGAGACCATCTTGGTTAGGGATACATAATGAATCCCTTTCTCAAAAACAAAACAAGAGAAAAACAAAAAGATGTTTTAAGTGACCATTTTTAGTTATGCTATCCTAATCAACTAGAAAAGTTCAGAGTCTGGCTCATATCTATTAGTTCCCTGATTGCAACTCAAATAAGCATTGTTGACATAGGATTCTAATGCTTTAGGAATCTTAAATTGTTCACTGTTCAAAAGGATGGTCACAGTACT